TTCAGAAACAACATTCTCAACACGGTCTGACTCACGAGCAACAATCACGGCTTCCTTATTACCCTCACCACCCAAACAACCGTCGGTGTCCAAATGACCACTTCCACCACCGCTTTCATCAACAACATCCTCGTTACCAGCAATCCTCCTGTTATCACGATCAACCTCCTCATTGCCGCCCGCCACATCTTCAGGAGTACCATCAGAACCAGAAAAAGAACAAAGGTCACGAACCCCCTGCATGTCTAACTCACCCAATCCCAAAAGCGAAGCATGATCCATACTAGCAAATGCCAACAGAGCCTCATTCACGCTAACAACAGGACTAGAGGCGGGGGCGTCTACAACGCCTTGATGACCGGCATTAGCCAGGGCTTTACAAACAGACTCCGCTCCGACAACAAAAACGGCATGTCGAATAAGACTCACGGCCCCTGTGAACTCCGGATGCTCAATCAGCTTATCTACAATTCGCACGAGCCCCACTTGTAGTAACCAATTAAGATCACGATGCACAACGCTCGCACTCGACTGCAAATCAGCAACCACCTGATCGTGATCAGCTGCATCACGTTTAAGGCTCTCAACCTGAATCATTAGACCCTCGTTCACCTGAGAAAGGGAATCAACCTTCGCCTCCAAGCCCGACAACGTCTTCCATGACAGCTTTTTCGGAGGCAACAAGTTGGTACTTCCGCTCCGAACGCTGAAGATCATTGCTAAGTTCTGAAATACGACATTCCAAATCAGCAACACGAGCCCCATAACCGGCATGTGCCGCCTCCATCTCGCTGAACATCTGAATACGTCGTGCTCCTGCGGTAAGATAAAACATTGACTGTGCAGCAACATAAGTCATGTTATGGGAAAGGGCAGAACTACCCATAATCTCCATATCAGCGATGGCAGCCGGAGGAAAGGCGTGCCGGGCAAACTCCAAAGCATTAGCACGAACAGAAAGACGGGATTCATTGTGAAGATTCCAGGAAGGAATAAAGGGAGAAGGCCCTGAAGGCTCCCCACCCAAATCCTTGAAGGGAGAAACAGGAGTTGGGTCCGGATCGTGAAGGTCCTTCGAAGGAGAAGGATTAACAGAGGAAGGTTGAATAACCTGAGAAGGAACAACGGGTTGTTTAGGCGCCCCACCAATCCCTTCAGACTGTGAAACGTCATCATCAGGGATTACGACAACAGCTACCGGTGACGAAGAAATCGAACTCAGAAGGCGCGAAAAGTTGCGCCTAGTCTGAACTCGCTTGGCAACACTAGGTGCACCAACAACCGATGCCCCCATGGCCAGAATGGCTTTACGCTTGGCTTGCAGCCGCCGAACATCAGCAATCACATTATCCTTGTTATCCTTGTCACCCTCAGAGGAAGTATGGTAAGCACCACCCAAAGGCATGACGGAGGAAAGAGGACGGACTATAAGGGGGTCCGCTTCAGCAGATGACGGGTTCTCGTTCATCGATGGAGGAATAGGCATAGCAGCAGTCAGAACAAGTTGATCCAAGCAGCAGGGAGGAGGTAGGCGCTCAACCAGATCCACTTCCCGATGCTCTAGTTTACCCTTATAGCATTTTCGGAGCACTTCATCCATAGACAAAGGAGACTCATGACCTGGAAATGTCAAAACATCAAAGAAAAGTCAGGAGGGGAAGACCGCCAGATAATAAAACCCTAACATTGGTAAACAGAAGGAAAACACAGAAAACGTACCATCAATAACGATGAAGAAAACTGCCATTTTACTGCGACGCCTCCAAGACGGGCTCATCCCCACACCGGCGAGAAGGGCCTCAGAGTAATCTTCGGGAGACACCTGGATATTCTTAAGAAGATCGGCCACGCCCTGGTTATGAGGGAAAAGTTTGGGGATAGTATCAGCAAAAGCATTAGCATGATAGTGACCGCTACCCACCAAACCCTGATTAACCTAAAACCATCTATCTTGCCAGTTTTTGGGAGTCCGGCTGTCAGGCACCAGAGTATGCCCCCCACGATGAACGGAAAGCGTGTATTTATCACCGGTACAACAAAAGCGGAAGAAGTACTTAAAGACAAAGTAGTCAGGAAGATACCCATTAGCCCGACAGATCATTTCAAAAGCAACAACCTTGTTCACGACGTTTGGCATTAGCATTTGAATACTGCAACCATCTCTTTGAAGCATCTCCTCTTGGAAATCAGTTAAGGGGAGACGGAGACCAGCATCCAGGGTTTTCTGGTAGATCCCAACCTTCCCGGAAGGGGAGACAGAGGATAGAAGAACCTGGTGAAGGAAACTCCACACCATCGAGAGAAGTGAGACCATAAGTGGTCTCAAGATACGCGTACTCAGAGGCAAAAGGCACAATGCCTGGGGGACTCGCCATGAAAGAAGAAGAAAAGGGAGATAAGGAAGAAGAACAGAGAGGAAAAAAAGGGGAACTTAGATAAGAAGTTATGATGGATACTCTTATAAGAAAACAGAAAGGGCGGGATGTTCAAAATGTCTGACACGATGACGTAACCGTTGGCCATCATGAGCGGTCAGGTCACCATTAAGACCGGAACGACGAGCGAATGAAGAAACAACACGTGTAAAGCTATCAAGCCCAGAACGACGTATCGAGTAGTACGACGTTACGCCTACTGGACTGGGGGACTTGATGACGTGCCTAAGCCAGCACGGAAGAGTCGCTCCCGGCCATGAGACATGGCGCCCTGGCCGAGCCAAGAGAAGCGGACTCAGCGCCGCTAAGAGCAGGGCGCCCCGATGAAAGGCTCACGCCCGCCAGGTACGCTTGCAGCATCAAGACAAAGGATACGGTCAAGCGACAAGGCGAAGGATCAGAGCATTACCGCCGGAGCCAATGACAGTACTCTGACAGAAAGAGGCGCACAACCCTCTCTGACCTTGTCCCCTAAAAGCGATCTTGTCTCGTACGGACGGGCAGGGTCGCTAAGTATAAAAGGACGCATTCAGGAGCGCTAAAGGTAAGCATTCTTCACCAAGCCACTCCGATCAGAAATACTCAAAAACACTACCTAACTTGACCGTCAGAGCGTTCTTCCAAACTGCCCCTGCATACTAATTTTTTAGTTATTTTTTTTATTTTAACAGTTTTGGACGAAAATGCCCTTGCATAATGTTTTTATAGTTAAAAAAATTTGAATTTAACAATTTTGGATGACACAACTCTTGCATATCGTTTTTATAGTTAATCTTTTTTTGATTTCAACGGTTTTGAACGCAGATTGATGTTGAATATATTTAAGTAGTAAATTGAGTAAATAGTGATATACTTTGCATTTTGTTTTTATTCCTTTACCAAAAAACAAAGTACATAGTCATTTTTTGTTTTTCCATCTTTAGGTGTTAAATGCAATAAATAGCAACAAGCTTTGAATTTACACATTTTTTTCGGTTTTCTTTTTTTTGTAATTTCTTTTTTTTTCCAAAAACCAAACTACATTGCTATTAGGTGCATTTTCCATTTTTATGAGTAAAATGACCCAAATGGCAACATACTTTCAATTTATATGTATTTTTTTTCCATTTTTACGAGTGAAATGCCCCAAGTGCATTCTCATTTAGGAAAGAAGAACCATGGATACACCAGCCGTCGGATTTAATCTCCGATTTCACAACTTCACCATTCTTTAAGGTAACTTATATAGCGGACGTATGTTATGTTTGTTTTTTTGTTGTCTAAGATTACATTTTCTAATTTTGTTTTTATTTTTTTATTGTTGCACAGCAGCTGTTGGCTGGAATACCTACATGGATCTACATGTCAAGAATGAAGCTTTTTTAGGTGAATTTGTCACCGCCATTTTTCGTTGATTTGTAGTATCACCAGGTAACTTTTGTTAATTTTTATGTTCCTTTTACTATGTTTAATATATAGATTGGTAATAAAATGAATGAACATTAATAGATCATGCATTTGGGAAATTGAGTTTATGAATATACTTGTTTTTTTCAGGGGTAGCTGTTGCCTGGAAAGCTGCAAATGTGAAAACTGGAACTGCAGTCGTCGTATTTGGACTAGGTGTAGTTAGGCAAGCTGTATGATTCTTATGAACTTATATAAATGATTCTTATGAACTTATATAAAGATACAACTTTAAAAGGGTCCATAACAGTAAAATGGGACATTGTATGTTTTTTAAATTGACTTGCCCTATAACAATACTCAAACTATAAACAAATAGTTGATCAAATGCCATTTACAAAGAACAAACAACGGAAAAAATTGTCGCATCCGACCCCCGCAACGCGGGGGTCCCCACCTAGTTTCTATTGATATTGCCAATAACACAAAAATATTAAACATTAAATGAGATTGGTAAGATGACGATTATGTCCCTAATAAATTAATTTTGATCTAACGCTCCACTTTTAGTTCTCAGGTTCTCGGGAAAATATGAGTTCTCAACCGATCTCACCCATATATATATATATATATATATATATATATATATATATATATATATATATATATATATATATATATATGTTTGGATTATTGTATTCTAACTAATTATTGTATGGTTGTAGGAATGATTGTGGCCAATTAATTTATTTTTTTTAAGAAAGTGATTAATATATATTATTGAATTAAATATAATTGAAAAATACCATCTAATTTAATTACAATGATATTTAGTCAATTAATATAAATTTAATAAATGAAAATTGTATATTTTAAGGGATCATAGATTCTATTAATTTTTAAAATCCGATTTTACGAATTAAAATTCTTTTAATTCAGACATTCTGACAGAATATGTTTATGAGTATATTCAAAAATAAAAATATTGTTGAACAATAAAATAATAAAAATATTCTTGAACCTAGATCATTACTTTAAAAACTTTTTGTAGAATAACAAATTCTCGAACCATCAATTGAAGAATAAAACAGAAATTGCAATAATTACATTCATTCTTAACAAATACAACTATGAACATACATAAATGACATTCATTCGGAAAGAATATAAAATAATAATGGTTAACAATTATATTTATTCTTTAAGAATAAAACTAAGAATGGTTAAAAGTCAAATAAAAACAATTGAAATCTAAGTAAAACACTAATACATTCTGATAGAATATTGTTGCTAATCATTCTGACAAAAAAATGTTAATCCATTCTGAACGAATACTTTTGCCTTACTTTTCATTCTTCACCAAGCTTCAAACTGAGTTTCCATTCTTCACGAAGCTTCTTTTTCTTTACTTGATGTTATTTCTTTCAGAATTTATAGCTTCATAAGAATTTATAACATTCTTAAAAGTTGATTCACTGCTATACACACACAAAAAAAAACATTACAATTTGCTTAAACATGAGAATTTCTAGTCGGAAGGTTACAAATTCATTAGTGACTAAATCACTTAAAATGTTTTAAAAAAGAAGGTTACAAATTCTTGATACCATCTTTTTTCACGTGTTAACATCAATTGCATTTAATTAGTAAAACATGCCCTCAACAAGCTTCCCAAGATATATAATCACCTCATATGGCTCCTAGCTTGTTACAAAGAAAGTGTCAGAATCCAAAGATTTGTTCTTTCAAAAAGTAGATTGTTTCTTTTGGAATCAGGAATAATTCATCAAGTTGTTATGGCTGTTAAGAATTATGACAAGTTAAAAGAGAGAACAAAATGATATATATTATGTGTGAAAGTGGAAAGGAGGTTAAATGAATGAAATATATTCACCTTGACACCTGGCAAGGGTGATCTACTTGTAACCTCTATTTTATCAGCATCCTATTTTGAAAAAGGTTAATAGTCAAGAAATTAAGAAATGTTAAGTTAAGAATCGTCTTATATTTAACGTTCTAATAATACAATGTTTTCGTCAAATCCTATAAATCAACACAACACTTTGAAAAGGGAACTTGTTGAGTGCTTCCAACTAACTAGCTTGGCCCTTATCCTAACAAAAAAAAGCTTAATAGTTACTTCTAAAATCAAGAATCTGACACTCATATACAAAAGGTTGTAACCAAATATACTGTGAATGAACAAAATTGCATTCATATATGCGCTTCAATTGCCACTAACCACTAACCTAAATGCAGATCACAACATTATATTTCCAACAAAAATTCATACATAACTTGACAAACCACAACATTATATTTCCAATAAAAATTCATACATGACGGCAATTTTGAACATCATAGATGAGTTTAAGGCAAGAAGAAAAGGAAAAACCTTACGTGATGGCTGTTGTGGAGGCAAGTCAGAATTGGAAACGGTATTAATGTCGAAGTGGCGGAGGAAACAAGGGGAAAGATAGGATTTTAGTTTCATCCCAAACAAATGTTGTATTGAAGGATTTTTAGGACTTTAAAGATTACCTTCAATCGGCCGACTCTTTGTGACTTTTGGAGGGATTCGAGACGTGCGTGAAGAAGATGAGGGCTGAATGGCAGGTCACTGATACCCACCACCACCGCCTCCTCGTCGTTGATTCTCTATTTCCTTCATCGGCGTCTAAGTTTGTCCGACATCAATCTGGTGATGATTCGACTATTAAAGAACCTAATTATCCCTTTTGTTGTTCTGTTGATTTAAACCCAATCGAGAATATTGAAACGAGAAAGGGAATGAGTGAACGAGCTGTGAGGGATGAAGCGGAAGAACGATTGTGTTTGTTGGTCAATTAGGTTTTAAATGCATAAAGTATCGTGACTAAATCAAAGGGATAATTAAATATTTATTTGTTTACCAAAATTAATTAATAGGTAATGTTACAATTTTACCCTTATTTAGGTTTTGGAAATGATTGGTCCACAATCATTCTTACATCCATACAACAGTTAGTTAGAATACTCTATATATATATATATATATATATATATATATAGAGAGAGAGAGAGAGAAAAAAAAAAAATTGACCACAAGATCCGGAATATCATATTCCGGAGCATGTAGTTTTGTTCCAGATTTTTGATCTGAAAATGCGATATTCCGGAGTATTTGTGAACTTGTTTAGAAGTGGGTGCCGGTTGGTGAGAATTTGGTCCGGAATTTGACACTCTGTATTAGTGTATATGTATTATACTTGTGTAGCCCATTTGTATTAGATTCAAAGCCAATGTATTTGATGTAGACCAATATGTTGTATTTGTATATATATTCCATTGTTCAATGAAGATCTCGCTATCGGAAAATACCATTCTATCATGGTATCAACAGAAACCTTACTTTCCTTATTCTCCTTCTTCTTTTTGATCCTCCTGATGCCGGACTCAACCCTAGCTGCCGCCGGCCTTACCACCTTATCTTCCGCAATCATCTCTCCCATATTCCTCTCTTCTCCTAAACCATGGTTGGTGAAACTTCTAATTTCTCAAATGAAAAACCATATGGTGCTCTTAATATCAAGACTTATGTACCAATAATTCTTGATCTCAATGAACTCAATTATGATGCATGGCAGGAGTTATTTGAAACCCACTTCAGATAAAGACGAAGACTGATTCAAGCTTGAATCTGTGGTTAAAACGTGGCTATATGGAACCCTCATGCAATCTCTTCTTAACATGATTCTCACGAAGAATTCCACATCCCACACCGTTTGGCTAAGCCTTGAAAATCTCTTCCGTGATAATAAAGATGCTAGAAGAATTGAATTTGACAATGAGCTCAGGGACATGACACTAGGAGATCTTACCATTGCACAATATTACCAAAGAATGAAGTCAATATCATATCTCCTGGCGAATATTGACAATCCTATACCCGAGAAAACTTTTGTTGCTCACCTTCTCAACGGCCTCTCTCCTCAATATGAACACATTGCCACTCTCCTCCGCCATCAGGATCCTCTACCCACCTTTCTTTAAGCTCGCTCCAAGTTGTTAGCTGAAGAACAATGGCTCAAGAACTATTTCCCTCCTCAAGCATTACACACGGATCATTCATCATCTCCATTTGTTTTACTTGCTGGTCACAACAACTGTGACAACCTGTTATTTTCAAGTCAATAAAAGTCAACATAAGTCAATAGAAGTCAAACCCTCTAAATAAAATTCGAGTTTTGTTTATTTTGTTAAGATTATAAGGGTTCAATGTAATTTAAAATATATAAAATGATGTTTTTATATAAGTATTTTAATGTTTGGGATATAAACACTTAGACTAAAAACACAATTTTGGGGCCAAATTAGGAACCGAGAACACCCCCTTGACCGAAATCAGATTCCGACCGAAAACCCATTTCGGCTGAAAACTCCCTTCCGACCGAGAACCCTCTCAATATATATGATTTAACTCGAAAACATAAGTCATTTCTCACTTTTCCAACCGAAAACACACTCATTTTTATCTCAAGTATCATCCAAGAATCTTCAAATCTTCAAGCAAAATCCTTCAAACCTTCATAATTTTCACCAAGAACAATCTTCAAATCTTCAAGCTGACCGAAATCCTTCCTGACCGAGAACCCTTCCGGACCGAAGACTGATTTCCGCCAGAACCGAAATCTCTCCTTTTGGACCCACTTTCACACCAAAAACGCCTAGAACTATCCCAATTAATTCTTAAGTCTTTTGTAAGTATTCCTTACATAATTAAAGTGTTGTCTAACACTTTAATTATTATTTAAACATTACTTAATTTATTATTTAAATTAATATCTTATTAATTTAAATACGATATCGTTTATAAATATTATTAGGATACAGCTACCTTTACGTATTCTAATCCGAGGATCATCGTTAGCACTTCACGACTCAACCGAGCACACACATTCGAGGCGATTTCATACCCCTACGTTTTCATGATTTTTTAATTGTTTTAGGGGGAATACAAGTAAAACACAAACAATCTTGTGTTTAAAAATATAAATTGATTATTATATTTTCTTACCGTTAATATGTATTTGCATGTGAAATTACTAAAATACGCCAAACATCGTTACTGTTAAACTACAAAATATCTTAAGTCGCAACGGTTTTTACATCAAAGGAACAAATGAACTATTTTACAAACTTATAAACTATAATGGGTATAGTTTATGGAATAAAGAAAACTATTTTACTAAGATCAGGTTACAACACGGAAACAAACTTATAAACTATAATAGGTATAGTTTATGGAACAAACGAACTATTTTTACAAAGTTACACATTATTTACCGAAAGGTTTTTCGCTTTATTACTCGTAAACTCGTTGAAGCATTTTATCAGACACCTTCACGTACTTATCTAAGTATCAACCAAGTCCGGACTTATAACCAGAGTCTCTTGTAGGAAGAGCGGGATATTTGTGTATAGATCTATACGGGACTGACAACCCCGCACCTTAACTGTTAGCTACAGTTACGCCGGCAGAGCTGGGGTGACAAATGTCGTTAACATTCCAACGCCTGAAGACGTCGCGATCAGGCCATATAGGTTACAATATGGTTATAAGAACTCACATGGAGAAAACAACGGCTCATTTACGTAGTAATATACTTTTTTAACAATTTAAAAGGTTTTTAACACCGCTTCTAATTTACAGAGCAAACATATTTTCAACTAGTTTTATTTATGAATAAAACTAGGTATCATCAAATTAAGTATGACATTTACACTTGTACCTTTCGGTCTTGGAACGTTTAGGACTACAACTCGGTTTCTATGGAAAATATAGGATTTTCCAGGATCAACATCATTATTTTATAAGTAAACAGTTTGTAATTCAACTTTCTGAAAACAAATACAATTACTTATCGAAAACAATGCTTTATAGTAGAGCGGGTGCAACTAGGAACATATTTACAAAAGATTCAACACTTATTTACGAGTCATACCAATTACATGAATCTAAACCTCGAATCACAGATTATAAACATAAGAAACTAATACTTTCTAGCATGAAAGTACTATGACTATAACTTATTTACAAAGAAAATTTTGGATTTTCTGGAGGAAAACATTAACATTTTCAAAGAACAAAGAATATGCTTTCTATAACAAAAATGCTTATGAACTCACCAACTTTAATATTGACACTTTTTCAAACCACTTGTGTTCTTAGAAAAGTTAGTAGGCAGGTACCCTCCCAGACGTTTACGAAGACGGAGCATAGTAGTGTCACGTTTTATTTTTTGATATAGTTTTAACGTTAAGTAATGTAAAGTTTTGAATAAAATGTAAATACTATGTTATCAATGCAATGGTTGTTGTTACTTTGGTTACTATTATACATGTGTTGTGATAATGTATATATGTCGTCACCCACCCTCGAACGTTTCCGCCGTTCCGGTTTGGGGGTGTGACAACAGCCGAAACAGCTCCGCCTCATCCCGTGGGAAACACCGCCCTAATCAGCAGCGACGACATGCTAGCCACAACAACGATCAACAACAACACAAGCAGCCTCCTGCTGCATCTTCCGAAGGCTATCAGCAACAACAGCTGCCTCATCAGCCTTACCAGTTACCTTGGAATCCCTTTTCCATGGACTTATCCTCCCTTCTGGCCCGGTTTGAGACCCAAAAACTTCAGTCATCAGCAGCCTCGTCACTCCACTACCCCGTCTTCAGCGACTACTCAACAGTCGAGCATTCTTGGACCTCCACCAGCATCCTCATCTGCTGCTACTCATGCTCTCCATGCTTCGGTCTCACCTACCCTCCAAACTTCATGGAAATGGTTTTCCCCCAATGGCTCAAGATCAACCAGCTGATTTGGCTCAAGCCTTCAACTTTATGTCAGTGACTGATGGGACGGATGCAAATTAGTACATGGATACGGGATCAACATCACATCTCGCCTCTTATACATGTAGTATTTCGTCTACTACCAATAATTGCATTATAAATTTTGTTCTTGTTGGAAATGGTCAATCTATTCCTGTTACTCACTCTGGCCCACTCTAAATTACACAGTCCTCATAGACCATTACATCTTCATAACATACTTGTCACACCTAATATTATCAAAAACTTAATATATATATATATATATATTATATATATATATATATATATATATATATATATATATGAGTCGATTTACATCTGATAATAAAGTATCCATTGAATTTGACCCTTTTGGCTTTTCTGTGAAGGATTTGGCAACCCATCAGATCCTGCTTAGGTGTGACTATTATGGAAACTTATATCATGCTCCTCCATCTCTCCAGTCTTCTGTTGCCCTCATCACCAACAGTTCCTCCTTATGGCACCAACGCCTCATACACCCTGGCGCTAGTGTTTTCAATAAATTAGTTTCCATTCATTTTATTTCATGTAATAAGACATCATCTAATATTAATTGTTCTGCATGTCAGCTTGGAAAACACATTAGATTACCGTTTATTAAATCAAACTTGAGAGTTTCTGCTTGCTTTGATATTATACATTATGATTTGTGGGAATCTCCAATTCCAAGTATTAGTGGTATTAAATACTATATTATTTTTCTTGATCATTTCTCCCACTTTCTATGGATTTACCCATTACGACATAAATCTAATGTGTTTAGCAAATTCTTACACTTTCGTGATTACATTCAAAACCAATTTCAAATTGAAATCAAACAATTTCAATGTGATCGGGTGAATTTGACAACAAACCTTTTCATAACCTTTTTGACCACAATGTAATCTCGTTTCGTTTCTCATGCTCTCACACCTCCCAACAAAATGGAAAGTCGGAACATATGATTCGAACTATAAACAAAATAATTCATACCCTACTTTTCCAAGCTCACTTTCCATCCACGTTTTGGGTTGAAGCCCTTCACGTGGCCACCCACTTTCTTAACATCACACCCTCATCCTTCATCAACAATGCAATACCATTCACCAAATTATACCAAAAAGTCCTCTAATTCTCTCATCTTCGTGTCTTTGGTTGCTTATCCTATCCTTATATTCCAACTCCTCACAAACTTGCTTCGAGATCCACTCCATGCATTTTCCTTGGTCATCCATCAAATCACCATGGATTTTGATGTTTCGATCTCTCTACTCGAAAAATTCTTATCTCTCGTCATGTAGTTTTCAAGGAAACCGTCTTTCCCTTCAAAGCCTTCTCTCCAAATCATTCACCCTCCTACTCCTTCCTTGACACATCCACTTCTGACATCTCTCCTATGTTTTGTGACATGTTTTTATCAAACACTTCTCAACCCAACACCACCACTCCTCTCGGTTCCGCTACAACCGAAGCTCCTCCCACAATCCCCTCAGATCCTACACCTGACACTACTCCTTCTCCTCTTGGTTCTCCTACATCCGAGAACGCCATTCCCACTCCGTCCCCTCACCCTATGGTTACTTACTCTCGTGTTGGCATTTCCAAGACCATCC